GTTGGGGATACCACGTAAAATCCCGTGTCTTTCATTGATTCGTGTTCGATTTATTATAGTCTGATTCGGAATGTCGGGTTGGTTCGATCGGTTTTTTTATAATTATATATGTGTCTCGAATATAAAGAAAGATGCAACAAATTAATTCTTTCATACAACAATGCTATCTCGATTAATGATGAAGTATGAATTGATAATGTTAAATGAGAAGTATGGTATTGATTATCTTAGTTAAAGTATAATCGCTGAAGTGAACATAAGACTAATTTGACTAAACATTATGACTTGGAGCTCGAGCAGCTAGACATGAAGACAGCTTTCCTACATGGAGAGTTGGAGGAAGAAATTTACATGACTCAGCCAGAAGGATTCCAGGTTCCAGGAAAAGAAGACAATGTTTGTAAGCTGAAGAAGTCCTTGTATGGACTTAAGCAATCTCTGAGGCAATGGTACAAGAGATTTGATAGTTACATGCTTGAGCTGGGCTACAACAGAAGTCCATATGATTGTTGTGTGTATCACGGCAAGGTGGAGGATAGTTTGATGATCTATCTTGTTCTGTATGTGGATGATATGTTCATAGCTGCGAGGTCGAAGTCTGATATCTAGAAGTTGAAGGGGCTTCTTAGTGCTGAGTTTGAGATGAAGGATTTGGGAGCTTCTCATAAGATCTTGGGTATGGAGATTTACAGGGATAGGTTGAAGAAGAAGCTTTTCTTGTCACAAGAAGAGCTACATCCAGAAGATACTGACGTGGTTTGGCATGTTTTCAGCAAAGCCCTTGAATAGTCCTAGTGCTTCAAATGTTCATCTATCCTCAGATCATGCACCGCAGTCAGAGGCTGAGAAGGAGTACATGTCGAGAGTCCCATATGCCAGTGTAGTAGGTAGCTTGATGTACGCTATGGTATGCACTAGACCTGATCTTGCACATGTTGTTAGTGTTCCAGCAGTTCATGAGACAACCTTGGAAGGAGCATTGGCAGGCTATGAAGAGGGTCTTTCGGTACCTTAAGGGTACATCTGATGTGGGGGTTAGCTTCGGAAGTGATACAGAGTGCTTGGTGTCTGGGTATTCTGACTTGGACTATGCTGGAGATGTTGACACGAGGAGATCGATGAGCGGTTATGTATTCACTCTTGGAAGTTCTGTAGTGAGCTGGAAGGCAACTCTGCAGTCGGCGGTGATATTGTCTACTACTGAGGCTGAGTATATGGCATTGACAGAAGCTGCTAAGAATATGGTTGAAGGGACTGGTTGGTGATCTGGGTCTACATCATGATCAGGCAGTGGTGTATTGCGACAGTTTGAGTGCAATATGTTTGGCCAAGGATCAAGTCCACCATGAGAGGACTAAGCACATCAACGTGAGGTATCATTTCTTGAGGACAGAGAAGAAGATTAAGGTGAAGAAGGTTGGAACCGCGGATAATCTTGATGATATGTTCACGAAGCCGGTTCCACATGGCAAGTTCCAATACTGCTTGGACTTGCTGAATGTCTTGAGTGGGTGACTCCGCCCTACGGGGCATTGATGGCGGGAGAGAGAGAGAAGGAGCAGAGTACATCAGAGATTTCAGAGGAAGAGGATTCAAGTCAAGGTGGAGATTTGTTGATGTGACTTGAATCGGACTATCAACCGCTACGACTGGAATAGTCGGGGGTCTGGGCCTGGTTGTAACCGCTTTTCCTTTACTAGATTGGATTAGGGTTAGAACTAGCAGAAGTATTATAAATACTTGTCATCTCCTCTGTAATCTGTAATCTCCTCGATATAGTGAAACTAGCTCTCTCTCGCCCGTGGACTAGTTAACACACATCATGTTAGTGAACCACGTAAATCGTGTGTCGTGTTTTTGATTCTTGCTTTCTCTATTTCGGCAATTCCCAGATCTGTAGCAGCGCGTTTATGACAAGTGGTATCAGAGTCTAGTTCGGTTCAGGATGGTGGACGTCAGATTGGTTGACTCTCATTCGGTGACCTCGAGATTTGAGATCTGCATTTGTCTGGCGGGTCAAAGGTGATTCGCGTCTGTTTGGTGGATCCCGGAGAGATCCACGTTTGGGTTTTGGCGGATCAAAGAGAGTTTCGCATTTGCGAAGCAGATCAAAGAGAGTTCTGCGTCTGGTAAAGTCCTTGTACCGAGAAGCCCATCGATACAAGGCGTTTGGCAGATCAAGATAATCGCTGAGGTGAGGTCTGAGGACACGAAGTTCTTGGTCCTTGTCTTGAGGGGAGGATTGTTATGGGACAATCGAAGTACCAAATCGGAAATACAAGGGAGGAAACCCTTGTATATTAGTGTCCACCTAGCCCAATTAGTACGAGGCCTTTTGGGAAGGAACCGAAGAGTAAAACCGTGTGGGCTTGACCCAAAGCAGACAATATCACACTAACAGGTTGCCCAGTTATGACAGAGAACTTATTGCATTACCCTACTTGTTCAGCGAGTAACCCTACCGTGACAAGTTTGGATAGTTCAAATCGAGCGGGTCAATGTAATTGTTGGCACAACTTTTTTATTCTTGTACGAGAGGGCTACTTGTTGAAGTAACTTTAAAATAACTAATCAACGATACTTTTTTTTTATAATGGTGAAACTAATCAACAATACTTCCCAGCCATCGAACATTGAACAAACAGTTATTAAACTACTATAGCACGCCCAGGACAACGAGGAAACATTGAACAACTAGACGTACTTGAAACAGCTGGTGGTAATGTTGTCTTCAACTTGGCCTCGTGAAGTCATGTGGAAGTGTGAACGAGACTGAATAACCGCAAAGGTATATATGCTAAAGAACAATTAATAGCTAAGCTGTAGTGCACGAGCTTCCTTTCTTCACCGTTGATGGACAATGATTTGTATATTAAAAGATGGTGGCTGCTGCAGGTTGCATGCTTTGGCATCACATGAGGAATCTTTCTTTCCGCCTGCCATGGAATCCAAACCGTCAAAATACCTAATTGAATAATGAATAGTAGTACTTGTTCGTTCTCTCTGTTGTGCTTTTGCTGCTGTATCTCAACTGCTGGAGCGCCCATGTTCGTTGTTCTGCATGCGTACTAATTGATTTCCTTGGTGAGATTTGTTTTGTAATATGTTGCTTTTTAGTTTTCGCATTTGCCAAGGTAGGGAGTATTAATTTGATGAATATAAATATATTAGGAAAAACTATAATACGTGTTTGAAGAAGTGTGTGGCTTAGGCCATTCCAATCCTAGAATTAACATGTCGATTCACTTATATATGAACTAGAATGTTGCTCTTTCGGCACACCTACAAACTGTTTTTTTAATCGATGTGAGAAATATAAATAGCCCCGAACTCTACTTAAGATGTCAAAACTATTGTATCATTCACGCATATTGATGATCATGTCTCTATGAAATTGCATCTGGTTTTCATTTATAACCGAACCGACCGGGTCAATTAAGCTCGATTTCTCTATACTCTATTGGTTTAGATTTTACGTACGTACCACCTACTATTTCCCTGTGCAACTGCCATTAATTAAGTTCTTCTTATTATTGGGGGAAAAAAAGTTCTTCCTAATTATTATATGGAATGGCCTGGCTCTTCCGGTAGGTGAGGACCTTCCCTCATTGTTTAGTTTATCACTTGGACCGCCTTTATAAATTACAAAGAAGCAAAAATAAAAATAAAACAATTGAAATCTCCATAGTTCTTCAAAATAAACAATCGTCTTATACCAAAATAAAAAATAAAAAATAAAAAATAAACCATCGGAAAGGCCCAGATAAATATAGCATACACCTTTGACCCAATTTGGGTATCTTATGCATTTTTCTTATAATGGCCATTATCATTATCGATTTAACATAAAATTATTTTGATTTTCAATTGTACTATAATGTGAAAAATGCATAAACATTTTCAAAGATGATTTACAATTTAATCACTTTTACCTTAAATATTCCAAAAACACGAAAACAGGATAACTCTGTAATTCATCTTACTTTTATGCATTTTTTTAGTATACACATTTCACTTTTTAGGATATATGCTATAATCTTCTTTTCTTTTTCGTCACTTTGATAATCTAATTTGTCTAATTTATCTCATTCTTATGTTTAGATGAACTAGAAAGCATGTAATTTTTCAAATTTATTCAGAATTTACTTGTTACAATGAAAGCCCATTATTGGATATATTTCTCGCTAAAACTGCAAGAATTAATGGTAATTCTATGTGTTGTTGTTATTTCACTAAAATCCAATTATTATATATTAAGTTTAATTGATTAATGATCATTTATATTTAAACCACGATGAATATTATGCACTCATTTTTATAAGTGCATCGCCTATAAAATTTCTTCTCGATCTTTATTTTCATGCACAAGGTGCATAATGCTTCATATATGATTAGTCAGTTTCATATTAGTAACTAATTAATTAAGTTCGTTACAGAGCAAGATGTACCATATGTTTCACGGAGGTACCGAGCTGACAGCAGATAGGCCACAGTGAAAACATTGAGATATAATGCAACATTGCAAATGGATTGTAGCTAGCCTATTGACTGTATGAATGTAGATTGTAGAGAGCCCATAATGTGTATGAAACTTGTATTTTCTTGTAGTAGCCATTTGGTTGTTTGAAGTGTAAAGTTACTTTTGTGAGCAGTAGAGTTAATCTACCCTCCTTGAGTTTAATAATATTTATGATTACCCATTAAAAAAAAAGTAGAAATGGATGTTGATGAACAATATAATCAAATTTCTTAAATTACTGGATGGAAGCAATTTACGATATACAGAAATCCAAAAAAAAAAAAAAATTTGAACTGAACGACAAATAACCAAATTTTCTAAATTAAATCCTAGCCCTAAAACATATTAATTTCATTGCAATAAATTCCCTAACGAATAATACAACACTTGCATAGGTAAACCTAAAGCAGTACTGGCACACATCAATCAGCACCTTCATAGCTACGTGCTCTGCATGTAATTAATTCTTGCATGCGCGGTTTTAGTTGTGCGTAGAATGTCCAACGCCGGGGCTGTGGCCGGGAGTGGTGGGCCTGAAATCATCGGTGCCGCGGCCGGGGGCGGCTGCGGCCGGAGGCTGCTGTGGCTCGGAGGTTGCCTGACTGCCGGGAGCCACCACCACCGGCGGCGGTGGTGGACTAGTGATAGCAGTCTCTTCCACCTCGGCTACAATAGTAGTGAAAGAGCCTTTCGCGGTGTTGCTGTGGAGGGTATTTTGGTTGATGAGTTTGAAGCCCCTCGCTGCTTCAATGGAGTGAATCTGTTGGGAGAGAATGATGATGGAGAGGAGAAGAAGAAGGCAAGTGGAGTAGTAAGCTGCTAGTGGCTTCATTGTTTGGGCCATGGTGATTGGGAGATGGGAAATGTAAGCGGCAAATGAAAGGGAATTAGGCTCTTTTGATTTGGTAACTCTTAGTTTGTTTTGGTGCTCTTTGGTCATTGCTCGAGCCATCTATTTATAGAGAGCCCTAGAGAGGAAGGGAGAGGTAGAGAGAGAGTGAATGTGGACTTGATTCTCTCCTAAGTTGAGGGGTTGTACGACATCTTGGGGGGAAAAAAGGTAATTGTACAGTATTAGTATTTAAGTTCATCAACTCATTAACATATATATTTTTTTAGAGGAATAAACTCTTTAAAATAAACTATAGGATGTGTGATAGCTGCACAGTTGTTGGGCAGATTTCTTTATTATGAACAACAAAAAGTTCTCTTTATAATGAAAAACAATAAGGTTACACAAATTTCCATTTGTAGTAGCTTATATCATTTTTGGTAATACATATTGGGTCTTCCCAGTTACTGACTACTGAGGAATTGCACAACAACAACCAATTAACATCAACAATGTGATATTCAATCTTCATTCTTTAATACAGATTGAAGGAAATTAATCCATGTACTACAAGCTGTCAAATATATTGAATATGCATCTCAATATGCTTACTTCAATCGCTTAAGTTGTTATGTAGCATAACAGTTTTTGGGTTTAAAACTAAGAAAACGGCAACTAAACAAGCAATGAAAGTAAATGGAGGAGAATTCTACTTGAGGGGACTTCACCTGGGTATTGCTCCCCCTAGTCTCGTGCTAAGAAGCGACAAACAAAGCTCTAGTGTGAAGGAAGTGTTCATACACCGCAAGGTGGGTTCAACTAGTTAGGGACAAACTCCCTTAGTCTATCAATGAAGGAAAATCAACAAATATAAGCTAGGGGAACTAGCTCTCTTAACCGTTAGGTTAAGAATTTTGATTCATAGCTTGAGAGTCTAGCCCTCTTTATCAATCAACCAAGGAGATCCCTAACTCTCTCTTAGTTAGCTAATCGAGATTCGTTGCAACAAGTTAATAATCTAACTCACTTAACCTTTTGGCTAAGGGTGACAACGATAGGCTAGGGAACCTAACCCTCTCAACTAGTCGGCTAAGAATTGCAAACCAAACTCTCGGAACTTAATTCGGTCCCCAATGGTTAGTGTGGCTTTGAATGGGGGTTGTATGGTTTCTTTCTGGAAGAAAGGCTTAAGACAAGGGGAACCTTTGTCCCCTTATCTCTTTACTATTGCTATGGAAGCTTTTGATGGATTGATTGAGAAGGCGGTTAGAGAGAGTCAGATTCCATACTATTCAAGGTGTAAAGCTTTGTCCATTACACATCTCTGCTTTGCAGATGATTTACTGGTCTTTACAAATGAGTCTATACGAGGAGTTGCGGGGATTAAGAGGGTGCTTGAGCACTTTTATTCTATATCAGGCCTGAAGTGTAATCCGCAGAAATGTCAAATGTTCTGTGGGGCAATAACAGTGGAAGAGATGAGAGTAATATCTGAGTATTTTAGATTCCCAGTTGGGGCTTTTCCTGTGAGATATTTTGGGGTTCCACTAATAACAGGGAAGCTTAAAAGAAGTGACAGTAGAGCCTTGATTGATAAAACACTTAGAATATTCGAAGCTGGAGTTCTAAACCGTTGAGCTTGGAAGGGAGTCGTCACTTAGTTTCATCGGTCATAACAAGCATTCTACAATTCTAGATGAATCTGTTTTTGTTGCCAGCTTATGTGATTAAAGAAAATAGAGTCTATTTGTAACAAGTTTCTCTAGGGGATTGATGAAACAAGTATGAGAATGAGAGCAGTTGCAGCATGGTCCTTTCTAGCTCGTCTCAAAAGAGAAGGGGGCCTAGGAATTCGAAACTTTGTATTGTGGAATAAAGCATGTGTTACTAGGCATCTGTGGGAAATCCTTACTCAATGAGGATTCCTATGGGTGGCTTGGATCTTAAAATACAGAGTGAAGTATCAATTAGTATAGGATTTGAAGTAGGAGGTAGTGGGGTCGTGGATCTGGAAAAGAGTTCTAAAGTGCAGGTTTGCAACGAGGCCTTTCGTAACTGGTTCAGGGTTAAACCCATGTTGGGATGGAGCTTATATGAAACGATTTTCTGTGAAAAAGGTTTGGAATTCCTACAGGCAGCATGGAAATGATGTTGAATGATATCGTGTAGTTTGGCATACTGAGATCATCCCACGACATGGATTGATGTTTTGGCATTTGATTCGGAATCGTGTGACGTTGCAATATCAGCTGCTCAAATGGGGGAACCTATTCTGGATGTTGTTTGTTATGCCCTGGGGGGAGGGAGAGTCGCGATCACCTTTTCGTGTCATGTTCTTATATTACTTGGATGTTGGTTCAATGTTTGCAAGGTTATGCTTCGCCTGTTCACCAAGACTGGGAGACTCTCTTATAGTGGTGTGCGAGGAACTGGAGGGATAAAATAGACCAAGCTGTGGTGGGACGTGCAGTCTGAAGTGTCTGAATCAACCTAGTTTGGAGGGAACAATGTTCTCAACTTTACGGCAGTGGTCCTGCGAAGTCTCTGGTGCGGCAATGCTCAGATTTGAAGCGGATGAGAAGGTGTGAAGCGGAAGTGGTGTTGAAGTTGCAGGAAGGCCTAGACAACCTTAGCCTTGGATGGTAGTTTGTAGGTTATACATATAGATAGCTTACTTTGATGGTTTCTTTGGTTTGAGAGGCACTAAATTGTAATACGATTTGGAGGCCCGAGCTTAATGAAATTTTTGATTAACCATAAAATAAAAGTGGAATACTTAAACACTGTTATGTGAATATATAAACTATGTTCTGTAAACATTTCAAAAACATTTTTAAAAATGTGTAATATTTCTACGTTGTTCATATTATATTAGAAATAGTAGTTCACGTACAAAATGTTATAAAAGCTAATAATAACCAAAAGAAAAACTTTATAAGCATTTGGTCGTCTGCATAATATCAATTTGGTATAAATTTTGGTTGTAGTTCAAGCCCAAAAATAATTATACGGAGATGTGGATCTCCACTTCCTTTTACGCTAAACTGGGACGAATAAATTAATGGGCTTCGAGGACAAGCCCGGAATATCATTCACGTACATCGAGCCGGCCCAAAAGGCTTTACATGTCACATATCTCAAATACAATTAGCCCATGTGTATATGGGTGTCTCCATACTGGAAATTTGGATATTCCATTGGGCTGTTCAGCCTTCAGGTTGACCAAAGTCCAAGCTTAATTAGTGGTGGGGTTGGTTCCCTTAGACCATCTCCTCCTAAAAAGTTTAAAGTGTCAAATATCACCTCAGAATTTAGAAATGCTAAAATTACTCCTCGTAGATACAATATGCATGCTTATTTAGTGGCTCAAAAGATCCTTGTATCGACAATTCGACTATTTGTCGACTGTCGCGTTTAGTTGCTTGTTGTTCTCTGACTATCTATTTGCTACCATTATCAATGATAAAAAAAATGCTAAAACCCCAGGAATTTAAAAATCTAGTCCACATTTCTCATTTCCAAACACGCTGGAGATGACATTTACATTGTACGCGCCTGCAACCCATCTTCCCTTCCCGCATCTGTGCTGCACATAGAGAGAGGGGAGTCCGGATCTGGTGACTAAGGGGGGGTGCTTAGTCAAGTGGCTAAGCTCCCCTTAGCCCTTAGATTAGAATGGGTAGATCTAATGGTCCAGATGAAGGAAGGGTTAGCAATTAATCAAAGGGGTAGTTTTGGCATTTAAAAAAATAATTAAATCATGTTTTCCATTTTATTTATTTTTTTCTTTTCCCCTCTCCAATTCTCTCCAACCGTCTCCTTTTTTCACGTTCATAGAGAGAGAGAGAGGATAGAGATGCGGCGACGGTGAGAGAAGCGCCGACGTCAACGACGACGGTGAGAGAAGCGCCGACGCCTTCTGCAACCGTCTCCTCCTCTTCCCGTTTTTGCTGCGATGTCCAGAGAGAGAAAAAAAGCCATGGCGGAGGGGGAAAGAGATCGAACGCCGATGGAGGAGAGAGAGAAAGAGAAAGGCGACGATGTCGATGGAGAGAGAGATGGCGGCGCCGCTACGCTGGAGGAGAGAGAGGCGGCAGCCTTGGAGAGAGAGAAAGTAGATCTAGTCGTCGGAAAATAGAGGAGAGAGAGACGGTGGTGAGGAGAGAGAGGCGGCGGAGAGAGCTTCGACGACGATGGAGGAGATAGAAGCGGCGCGGTGATGGAGAGAGAGAGGTAACGACGGCTGTAGAGAGAGTCGGCGGCGACGTCGGCAGCGGCGGCGGCGGTGGAGAGACATCGTATACGTCTCTGAAGGAAGAACAGTGATTTGTATAGTTTGTATGTTTTGTAACATTAGTTTGTATTGTTAGTATTTTTGTACAAAATGTCAGTATGGTTTGTATAGTTTGTAACATTAGTTTGTACTCTTAGTATGTTTTTCTTTGACAGTTTGTACTCTTAGTATGTTTTTCTTTGACAGTTTGTACTCTTAGTATGTTTTTCTTTGACAGTTTGTATTCTTAGTATGTTTTGCTTGTATTAGTATGTTTCGCTTTGTATTGTAAGTACTAATAATTTGTATACTTTATATGTATTGATTTGTGATGCAAAAAACATTACAAACATGGTTGACAAAAATAACAAACATGTGGACAAAAATAACAAACATTACAAACAATACAAAAGAAACCAACAAACATTACAAAATAACAAACATTACAAACATTGCAAACAAACATTACAAACAAACATTACAAACAGTACAAAGCATACTACACGTACAGAATATCACTACTTACAATACAGATTGGTAAACTTGTATTACAAACAAATGAATACAAAGTATATAAATCATAACATAAAAGTATACAAACTTGAATAACAAAAGTTACAAACACAAATCAATGAATAGAAAGTGTATAAATCATAACATAAAGTATACAAACTAGACAAACAAACATTACAAACATTACAATGTATACAAAATAGTAATATAAACA